AGGTGTGGCCTCAGAGCTCTGTTTGGTTCCTCAGGGTTAAGGGTGTGCCAAAGGTGATACTCCCAGGTTAGGCATGGTCAATCTCTCTCTTTCTCTCACTCTCTCTCTCTCTCTCTCTCTCTTTCTTTCTTTTTTTTTTTTTTTTTTTGATTCAGAAGGGAAGTAATTCTGCACAGCTGAGCGGAATTAAAGGTAGTTAGCAGGTGAATGATATACCCACAGGAGCCAGAGAGCTGAAGCTCTTTCCCAAGGACCACACAGGGAATCTGTTCTGCCCTCAGTGTGGTCTCAAATTCTCCTGGAGTTGCTTATGGCACTTATGATGTATGTCCAAAATGGCGCCTGCTCTTTGTCTTGCTCACCTTTGAGAGGTGATCGGAGAGAAACTCATGTCCATACTGGTCACTTTTTTTTTCCCCTCTATCTTCTTGTTAGGCTGGTGAACTTTTTCCCATGGGGTTTCATGGCTCGTTCCCTCTAGTCTCCTCTATCCACTTTCCCGCCAGTGTCTCGTGCTATTGAGGTTTGGCTCACCTCGTGTTCCAGCGCTGGTGCATTGATTCTGCCGTTGGTGTTCCGAGCCATGGGCTCCCACACCCTCCAGGCAGGTCCACCGTGAATCACTAGTTCCGGAAGAGTTTCCTCTGCTGTTTCTTCCCCTACACTTCCTTGAACCTGCAGTATCTCCACTTTTATTAAGCTGTCTATTCCCAGACTATCAGTGTGCTCCCTTCCTATTCCTCCATCTTGCTTCTCTCCACTTAATTTACTTCTAAGTAAATACATGTAACAAATCTGATTTGAGAAAGGCTGTAACAACTACCACACAGAGGATTTAAGTGCAGAATAAAAAAGGTCATGCCTTCTACCTTTCAAAACAAAGCACTAAGCATGAATACAACTAGTAGAACAAACATCACAAATATTGTTGTCTAACTCTTACTTCCTAAGTATTGATTACTGAAATACTCACTAGTTTAGGAAGAGTTTCCTCTGCTGTTTCTTCCCCTACTCTTCCTTGAACCTACAGTATCTCCACTTTTATTAAACTGTCTCTTCCCGGAGTATCAGTGTGCTCCCTTCCTATTCCACCATCTTGCTCCACTTCTGATCTGGCTCCTCGCTGGTATGCCTGGGAGGGCAACAGAAAATGGCCCAAGTCCTTGGGCCCCTGCACCCATGTAGGGGACCTGGAGGAAGCTCCAGGTTCATGGATTTGGATTGGCCCAGTACCAGTAGCAGACATTTGGGGAGTGAACCAGTGGTTAGAAGTTCTCTCTTTCTCTCTCTCTTTCTGTAACTCTGCCACTCAAATAAATAAATAAATCTTAAAAAATATTAATCTACTATAGTTTAAGTGATCTGCGATTACTTTAAAATTCACTGTACATGGGTGAAATGTTCATCTTTACTTTCAATTATTTTCTATAGCCACTGTCAATATCACCACTAAACTAAGGTCTTTTTGCATTTTACTTGTTAAACCTCTTATTCAGTAAACTGTTAAACTGTTTTACTGTTCTGTAAATTTAAAGTATGCTCTCTCAAAAACTAAAAAAAAAAGAAATGGAGAAGGAAAGAGGGTGGCAGAGAGAGAGAGAAAAAGGGAGGAAGCAAGGGAATATCATTATTTTATTAGAATTATACCTACAAAGCACATTGAATCTGTTAAAAATCAAAATTAAAAATTGATGCAGATATTAGAGTAGGAAAATAATAATTGTATATTTAAAGTATGTTTAAAGTATGCTGAGATAGTAGATATCATGTATATATTTTTTTTGACAGGCAGAGTGGACAGTGAGAGAGAGAAACAGAGAGAAAGGTCTTCCTTTTGCCATTGGTTCACCCTCCAATGGCCGCTGTGGCCATCGCGCTGATCTGAAGGCAGGAGCCAGGTGCTTCTCCTGGTTTCCCATGGTGTGCAGGGCCCAAGCACTTGGGCCATCCTCCACTGCACTCCTGGGCCACAGCAGAGAGCTGGCCTGGAAGAGGGGCAACCGGGACAGAATCTGGTGCCCTGACCGGGACTAGAACCCTGTGTGCCGGTGCCGCTGGGCGGAGGATTAGCCTATTGAGCTGCGGCGCTGGCCTCATGTATTCTTTTTTCTTTCAAAGATTTATTTATTTATTTGAAAGCCAGATTTACACAAAGATATGAGAGGCAGAGAGAGAGAGAGAGAGGTCTTCCATCCGATGGTTCACTCTCCAATTGGCTGCAATGGCCAGAGCTGCACCGATTTGAAGACAGGAGCCAGGAACTTCCTCCAGGTCTCCCATTTGGGTGTAGGGGCCCAATGACTTGGGCCATCTTCTACTACTTTCTCATGCCATAGCAGAGAGCTGGATCAGAAGTGGAGCAGCTGGGACTCAAACTGGGATGCTGGCACTGTAGGCGGCGGCTTTACCCACTACGCCACAGCGCCGTTCCCAATCTCATGTATTCTTAACCCCAAAGTCTAATTGTGTTAGTTGTTGGGTGATAATTATGTTGATTGTGCAAATCATTATACACATCATATTTATACCAAAAAAGACATTGCATATCCTAAATAAAACTTTTAATTTTTCAGTCATATCCAAATAAAACTAGATAAAATTTAAAAAGAATATGTTCAAGAAAATGGAAAAATGGATAGGAAGAGAGATAATTTCACCAGAGAATGGAATTCTATGGAGAACAAATGGGTGTTACAATGGAAAACTATACTATTTGAAATTGAGGCTTTAGCTATTTCTTTTTTAAAGATTTGTTTATTCATTTGAGAGGCAGAATTACAGAAAGAGACAGAGAGATAAAGAGGCCTTCTATCCATTGGTTCACTCCCAGATGTTCACAACTAGAGTTGGGCCAATCTGAAGCCAGGAGCCAGGAGCCTCCTCTGGGTCTCCCACCTGGGTGCAGGGGCCCAAGCACTTGGGCCATCTTTCACTGCTTTCTCAGGCCATCAGTAGGGAGCTGGATCAGAAGTGGAGCATCTGGGACTTGAAAAGGAGCCCGTATGGGATGCCAGCACTGCAGGTGGAGGCCTAACCTACTATGCCACAAAGCTGGCCCTGATAAATTGACTTTCAATATTTTTATATTTATGGATAAAATATCACATGATTTGTAAACTTCTAATAAATATTTCTGGAAGTCATGATCTGATGATAATAATGACGGGGTACTAATAGGGAACTTGAAAGGTCATCCTTAAAGTTGAGTTATGATTTTGTGATGTTATATTTTTATTATTGCTCCTCCTGCTTCATGAAGATCTCACACCCCTGTGAAAATCTGGCCAACTATAACTGTTTCAAGCTGCAGCCTCAGATAACACACAGAATATGTTCATAGAATCATGAAGTTAGGCTCTCTTCTTAGCTTTACAAATAACAATGCTAACATATGAATGAAAAATTTTTAAATGGTGAAATGTATTACAAAAAAGAAAGAGAAAAAGTAATTCCTAGCCACTCCCTTAAACATCTCCAGAATTCACTCCCTGTGCTTTCTGTTTACATGAGGGTGCTTACATTGTTGACTTCCTCAGTGACTTCTGTGATAGCGCCAAGGAGGCAACCAGCAAACCTTCTTTTGCAGCCTCTTTGGAGTGTGACATGCAGGTGGTAGAGGGGTCATCGCAGCTTGGCCCCATGGGACAGGGAGCAGAACAGCAGCCACCGGCCATGGTTGCTGCATCCCAAGGGGTGCACTGTGTTCCAATGTGTGCAGGGCTACGTGGTGCTCACAGACTGGGTGCACCTTGCTTGGGACCTATCGCAGTGCCTCGGGTTGGGGTCTTCCCCAGAGTCACAAATAACTTCGATTTGAAAGAGCCCTTCCTAGTTGACATGGACAGTTCTCTCAAATTCAGCTATCTCTTGAAAACACAAGCCATATGAAATTCATCTGAGATAGATACTCACTATGTTCCCTTACCAGAAAAGGCTGCAGAGAGGAAAAAGAAGAGAATGCTAATGAACAGTCACTTATATTCACTAAGAAAGATTCTGAAGGAAGTGGCACCTGACCAGTCCAAGCCAGAAAACTGATCCAAAACCAAGTCTTGAGAATCGGGTTCAGACCTCACTGCCACCTTCAACAACAGGTGCCATCTAGTCATTTCTTTGCAATGACTGGCTTCAAGAATGGGAGAGAATGTGTTTCCTGTTTATCTCTGTGCTGATTGTCCAAGTAACTTGTGAAGCTGCTTTTGGAAGATGAAAAACTAGATGCTTCATTCTATATTCCACAGCCATTTGCCTTAGGAATTTGGTTTAGCTTCCCACCAGTTTCACAATACCTATCTCTGAAAACATCTTTCTCTGTAAATTGAGGGATTAGGAAGCAATGTCCTATGTGTACTCTGATCCAAGAGTACATTGTTGGTCTGAAAACAGAGTCTGTTTCATGTTGACTATTAGTACTCCTGCACAGAGCAGGAGTTGTGAAAGCACTGATAAGGCACTGAACTTTTTAAGACACAGGGACATAACATTCAGTAATATTTAAGTTGACTGGATCATATACAGTTTGTCTCTGGTTGTAACCTGAGAATAACATAGTAATAAAAGTAATAAAACATCAGAAATAAAAGAAGAAAAAGATTTGAATTACAAACTCTATGTATTACATTAGAGAAATGCACATATGAAAACAGGACTTTAGAGAGAGGAAGAGTTCATGGAATAAGTGGTCTTTGATGTTTTGTGAGTGGGTGGAATAAGAAGAGTAAGGAGGAGAGGGATTCTGAAGTGAGAAAAATCACTTAGTCATTTTTTCTAGAATGCAAAACAATTTTTTATTGAAAAAAATGAGATGGAGAGAAAGAGAGAGAGAAAGAGCCCACTCACTGGTGCATTCCCTAAGTGTCTTCAAAGACCAAGACTGGACCGCAGAAACAGGAGCTGGAAATTCCATCTGAATCTCCCTGGGTGACAGGAAGCCAATTGATTGAGCCATCACCTGCTGCATCCAGAGCTGTGCGTTAGTAGGAAGCTACAACTAGGGAACAGAACACTTCAGTATGGGATATAAGCACTGCAAATGGTGTCTTTTACTCCAAGGAAAACACACTCACCACAAGTCAGTTCTTGACAATGTGATCCAATACACTGATGTTGGAATAAGAGATAGAGACCATTAATTTCTGCACAGGTGTTACCTGCAACGTCAACACACATTCCCCAAAAGCTAATAAGTAACCACAGTCACCACTACGACTCTCAGAGCAACAGCGCACCGACAAGCAAATGCCAGTGTGTGTGAACGCTGATATGCCCCTGCTCCTGCACCATGTTGTGTTTTCATGTGACAAGAACAGCACCTTAGGATTTGAATTGACCACGGATATGCCTAAGACTGAGGATGGGGCATTTCTGAGAGCGACGGTGGGGAGCGAGGACATTTTTCAGTCACAACACCTTCCCATGCACTTCTTTAGGGCTTCCAACACTTCCTTGTTCCTCAGACTGTAGATGAGGGGGTTCAGCATGGGGGTCACAATGGTGCCAAGCACAGCTCCTATCTGGTCTTGCTTAGGTGTGTGGGAAGAATCTGGTGTCAGGTGGACGAACATGGCCTGACCAAAGAAGAGACTCACCACTGTCAGGTGGGAGCAGCAGGTAGTCAGAGCTTTGTGCCTCCCCTTGGGAGAGTTCATCTTGAGAACAGTGAGGAAGATGAGGATGTAGGAGGCCAGAATGAGGCTAAAGGGGATCAGGAGAAACGTGACCGTTGACACAAATTTCACCATCTCGTAGACTGATGTGTCTATACAAGACATTCTCAATATAGCCAGGATCTCACACAGGTAGTGATTAATCACCCTGGGGCCACAGATAGGAAAACTCATTGGGTACCAAGTGTTGACAAGGGCTCCAAGGGCACCTCCAACCCAGGCTAAGGCAGTCACCTGCAGACAGACCCTGGGCCGCATGAGGACTGCATATCTCAGGGGGCTGCAGACAGCCACGTAACGGTCGTAGGCCATGAAGGTCAGGAGCATGCACTCAGTAAGGCCAAGGGAGAGGAAGAAAAACATCTGAGCAGCACACGCAAAGAAGGAAATGCTCTTACTCCCTGTGCAGTAGTTGGCGACTGTCTTGGGGACTGTGCTGGAGATGAAAATCAAATCAATGACAGACATCTGGCTGAGCAGGAAGTACATGGGGGTGTGGAGGCGGGCGTCCAGGCCAATGAGCAGGATGAGGACAGAGTTTCCTGCCAAGGCAAGGATGTAGAAGACGAGGAGTAGGATGATGAGGAGGTCAGGGTACCTGAACTCAGGAAAGAATCCCAGAAGGATAAAATCAGCTGAGGTTTGATTGTCCTGGTCCATGGTTTCTCGGAAATTTTCTTATTTGACTGAAAATCTACAAAGAGAATAATATCACAGGGAATGTGGTGCTTCACTGAAGTAGCTTTTGTCTCCTGTCCAGCGTCCTCTTCTCCATCACCCATGGCCCATGGCAAGGCTGTGCAACTGAATATTCCAGTAAAGGAGACATTAATAACAACTTCATAACTAGTACTCAAACAGTATTTTTCACTTTATGTTTCTGTGTGGGAGCAAACTGTTGAAATCTTTACTTAATGTATGCTAAACTGATGTTCTGTATATAAAGAGAATAGAAAATGAATCTTGATGTGAATGGAAGGGGAGGGGGAGTGGGAAAGGGGAGGGTTGCGGGTGGGAGGGATGTTATGGGGTGGAAGCCATTGTAATCCATAAGCTGTACTTTGGAAATTTATATTCATTAAATAAAAGTTTTAAAAAGAAGAAATTCATGTCATTAAATTGGAGCACTGAATACACTTCACTGTTGCCAGCATGTGCATATCCTTCTGACATTAGGCCTTATTTCTCAATAATAAAAAAAAAAAGAACGACTCCATCAAATCAAAGTACCCTTATGAGAAATAACCAAAGGCACATCCTACAGTTGGTATGATCTTGGCGAATTGGTGTTGAGTTCCTTTGACTGACAATAACTTCTAAGTCAACAGTTCTTTCCCTTGAATTCTGGAATTTTCCATGTGCTAGACCCTGGTTCCCTCAAGTCTTGGGTGTTCCTGTTGTGAGGATCCTATTCTGCCTCTACTCCAGAGAGCCTCTGCTGAGAGTCCCTTGAGGCCCTTTCACAGAATGAATTGAAAAATTTTCATTATCAGCCAAATTATGGTAGCTGCTTATTCCATTTCACATACTAAGTCCATAATTTTTCGTATTCAGTTTCTCCATGTAGTCTTAAACTTTGTCTTTGCACTTGAAAAAGCTCCTTAATAACACAAAGCAGTGGTCTTGTCCCTTTGTAAATCTTTCAGTTATTTTTTTATTGCAAATACAGTACAATACAATTTTGTTAAAATATTTTCAGGCATCTAAATGACTTTAAGACTCTGGGTTGGCAGCAGTTCTATCCAAGGCCAATATTAGCACCGTATTCTTCCATACCCCAGGAAAGCCCTAAAATCCCTGCGTTGATTTCCCATGGGTATCTTGACAATGCCCTTCATTGTCTTAAGTCACAGCCATCAGGCACTGCTGTTGTTGACCTAAGGTACTAGAGACCCCTTATTATACCCATGAGCCTTCCTTGATTTGAGATAATGGAGCTGAGACATTGCCTTGTGTCTGACAGTCAGTGGGAAAGCAGAGCTCTCAGTGTCACTCTTGCAGCTGAGAGTCACAATGGGCTTTGGGCAATGTGTTGTCCCAGGAGAATTTACTTCCTCAAGCAATTCAGAGTCCCTGGGTGCCTCTGATCCTGGGCTGCCTTCCTTGGTGGCCTCTCCCTCATGGTGCACCTCTGGCCTGGGCATTTAAATGCAACCCTTAGTAGAAACTTTTCCTGCTCCGGGGAATGAAATGATGGGTGAAATAGCTTTTTAAATAATGGTCCATGGTCTCAACTCTTCTGTGTAAACCAGACCTTGATGTTCACAGCTTACCATCTGGGAGGCTTAGTAACCACTGCAGAGGTGGTGAATTGTGGACAGACAGTGGGAAATAGAGACAAACACAGGGTAACTGAGTCCTCTGTGAGGGCACAGCATTGAGTACCACGTGTGGCATGCACTCGGTGATTAGCTGTTGACTTTCTGTGCCCACATACAAGCTCTTTGCAATGGTTAAATGATCATGCCATAGGAAATTAGGCACCCAAACGTAATACTTTATGTTCAAAATATTATAAAATTTTATGGGAATAGGTGGTAAACCGTGAGTCAGATGCTAATGTTAGAAACAGCACAGTTTTGTCAACATTTGTGAGCTTGTAGATCAATGATCAGACTCGAGTTTCTTATTTGATCTGTAAGATCGCTGTACATTCTTGCAAGTGTGATGGATCAATATTTACTGATAAACACCCTGTACACATAATTTACAAAATTGTGGTCCAGTAGCAAACTATGCAGTCATTCAGATAAGGACTCAGTTTTGACTAAATAGTGCACAGACAGTATAGTAACACAATTCTTACACAACAGTCACTGCCAAAATGTAAGTCTTTTTCCTCAAAAAATCTACACAAGAACCTCAGTTTTTTCTAGAAATAGAAGAAGAGGTAGTTTAACTCTGTGGGAGGGCTCAGCTAACGGTGGTAAGATCCTTTTATTTCTCTCTGGGGAAAGTCACATTTCCTGTCAATAACTCAGCACACTCCACTTTCTCCACTGCATGGGCTCTGCGATGAAGGGTTTCCAGTCCTGGCAGAAGCATTTCCATGTGATTGACAGGAGGCCCACCCTATAGTGAGTGTGCGCTATCACCCTATAGTGAGGGCCCCCACCCACAAGTCTACCCTCGCCATTTAGCCTTCAACACGTCTTCTGGAAGACAGTGTATAAGAAGAGAAGGCTCCTTTGCGTAGGGGTCAGGGCTGTTCTTCTCCTAAACAGGTACAGCCTAGGACAGCATTGCTGTCTCTGCAGTGCCAGATGGTGGAGAGCATGTTAATGAGAGTGATGGCTCCAGCAGCACTAATGACACTGAGAGAACAGACCAAGAGGCAGAGTGCTCTGCAGGCTTCATCCATGGATCCTGGCCTTGGCCTCTGTGAAATCTTGAGGACCCTGAACAGAGAGGGTCACAATGATGTGCCCTCCCCATGCTCCCTGACAGTGCTGAACAAATACAAATCCTGGGCATGGTCTTCAGAGCCAGCCTCTCTCAGGACCCCACTCTCCCTCCTGGTCTCGTGTGTATTTCTCTGCACCACTGCACATTTCCTTACACTGCCTACCTGTTCCACTTCTCAAAGCAAGGCCCCCTGCCACCATGGCCATCTTTGGGGAGTTCGCTGCCCTTTCATTGGTCCACACTTACCTGCTCCTTCTGTTCAATGAGTTCTGCCACAAGCCAGCAGTTAGAGAACTGGAAGAATGGACAAGGAACTTAAAGCCTGGCTAGGAATTGTTGTATGAAGCCGTCAGGCCCCCTGCTCCCTCTTCTCCCTGAAGGCCCTGTTTTTCTGCTACCTGGTGAGCAACAGGTTGTTGAAACTGTCTGCTCATGTCACATGGTGTTCTAGCTTTCATTAGGCAATTTTTGTCTTGAGAAAACTGATTTTCGACATCTCACAGCCGATGCCAAGGATGAACTCCTTTCTGCTCTACTCCCAGTTCAGGTCTGATTTGAACATGGGAGGGCTCCGTGCCCAGTTCTGATCAGAACAGATCCTTCCATAGCCACCATGTGCACAGACCTTGGGAATACTGCAGGGGTGTCTCATGGGAATCCTTCCCCAGGCTTCAATTAGTGTAGACCCAGACATAGCACAGGGAGTTTAGAGACCTCCTCTGAAAAACAGTCACTGCCTAGGGTTATGTTTGCTTGCTGAGTAATTACAGCTACCTTTTAGTGTCTCTATGCATTTAATAGCTAAAGGGCATCAGGCCAGAGGTGCACCATAAGGGAGAGACCCCCAGGGAAGGCAGCCCAGGATCAGAGGCACCCAGGGGCTCTGAATTGCTTGAGGAAGTAAATTCTCCTGGGACAACACATTGCCCAAAGCCCATCGTGACTCTCAGCTGCAAGAGTGACAATCCTCTTGGGAGGCACAAAGCTCTGACTACCTGCTGCTCCCACCTGACAGTGGTGAGTCTCTTCTTTGGTCAGGCCATGTTCGTCCACCTGACACCAGATTCTTCCCACACACCTAAGCAAGACCAGATAGGAGCTGTGCTTGGCACCATTGTGACCCCCATGCTGAACCCCCTCATCTACAGTCTGAGGAACAAGGAAGTGTTGGAAGCCCTAAAGAAGTGCATGGGAAGGTGTTGTGACTGAAAAATGTCCTCGCTCCCCACCGTCGCTCTCAGAAATGCCCCATCCTCAGTCTTAGGCATATCCGTGGTCAATTCAAATCCTAAGGTGCTGTTCTTGTCACATGAAAACACAACATGGTGCAGGAGCAGGGGCATATCAGCGTTCACACACACTGGCATTTGCTTGTCGGTGCGCTGTTGCTCTGAGAGTCGTAGTGGTGACTGTGGTTACTTATTAGCTTTTGGGGAATGTGTGTTGACGTTGCAGGTAACACCTGTGCAGAAATTAATGGTCTCTATCTCTTATTCCAACATCAGTGTATTGGATCACATTGTCAAGAACTGACTTGTGGTGAGTGTGTTTTCCTTGGAGTAAAAGACACCATTTGCAGTGCTTATATCCCATACTGAAGTGTTCTGTTCCTAGTTGTAGCTTCCTACTAACACACAGCTCTGGATGCAGCAGGTGATGGCTCAATCAATTGGCTTCCTGTCACCCAGGGAGATTCAGATGGAATTTCCAGCTCCTGGTTCAGCCTGGCCCTGTCCTGGTCCTTTTGGCACTTTCAGTGGGCCAGTATTTAACCCATAGTATCCACCATTCATGAGCAGGTGGAACCCTCCCTTTTTTCTGTCCAAAGGAGCGGGGAGATGAAGAAAGTGGTATCATAGGTCAGATACAGTGTCTCCTGTCTCTCTTTTTCCTACAGAAAGAAACCCAGTTAAAGGAAAGAGTGGTAGAAACTTCATGAAGTGAAAACAGACCCAGAGAATTTTGCAGCTAGCAACCCACACCTAGACACAGTTGAGTGTAGAGTGAGGAAAACCAGGATTCAGTAGGTATAGAGTGAAGGATCAAGGGCACTGCAGGAGGAAAGTAAGGGATCCAGGATACTGCAGGTATAGAGAACAGGACCCAAGACTGAGCAGGTACAGTATGAAGCAGAAATGGTCCAGCTGGGTATAGAGTACAGGACCCAGGAGAGATCATATGCAGACTCAAGGAGCCATGATAACTGACAGAGGATAAAACTGGTGTAGAATGAAGGACCCAGGATAGAGTAGGTGTAGAGTGCAGGACCCAGGATATATCAGGTCCATACTGAAGGAGCCACGACACATCCAGTTCTGCAGAGTAAGAGACCCAGGAAACAGCTGGTTGTAGAGTGAAGCAAACAGGATACATCAAGTGTAGAGTGCAGGCTGCAGAACAGCAGGTAAAGAGTGAGTGATCCAGAGTACAGCAGGTGTACACGGAGAGACCCAGGAAGCAACTGGTGTAGAATC